TCATATATTTATGGTTGGAATGGACTTTAGAAGCTAGAAGCTAGAAGTTCAGTAGCTTCTTTTATAGATGAGGAAACCAAAGCACAGAAAAGTTGAGTGACTTGCTTAAGGTCACACATCTAATAAGTAAGTGATGGGATTTTAACTCAGGTCTTCCTGACTCCAAGTGTAGAGATCTATCAGCTATGTTGACGAGGATCTTGGCCAATGGACCTTGCTTCTCGTTAGGGTTGGGGATTCTCATTTGATAGCATCATCAACAAACCATCAGTGAGCCTTACAATATGCTAATGACATGGCTAATTATACAAAAATTAATTCCTCCTTGCTAGCTCAGGCTCAAGTAATCACAGAGAAGGTAGTAGTGTTGTCTCCAGCCAGCTAGCCCACTGGGATGGAAGATATTACGCTTATAAGGCACTGAGATTGACACTAGAATTACAAGGCATGGGCTCAGGAGGCTAGTTGAGGAGATTGGAAATTCAAATGAAAAGGTAAAACTAGAACATGAGAGGAGGCATCACATCTGGAGCCCTGGCTCAGTTTTGGGTACCAAATTTAGCAAGAATGTTGGTAAGCTGGAGAACATCTATCCAAAGGAGGAAAATCAGGATGATGAGAGGTCTCAAGATCATGTCATCTGAGGATCAGTGGAAGTGAGTGAGTATGTTTAGCTTGGCATCAAAAGTCAATAAACATTTATTAGGTGCCTACTATGTGCCAGGCACTGTACTAAGCACTAGAGACACAAACACAAAAAAAGAAAGACGATCCCTGCCCTCAAGGAGCTTATAATCTAATAGGGGAAGACAAAACACAAAAGGAAGCTGAAAAAGTGGGGAGAGGTACTCAATCTAGGGCATGGTGAAGCCAGTCAGAGGAGTCCCAAAGTGGTGCAGCGGTGCAGCCAGGTGAGAAATGAGCTTTCTGAGTTTAGCTCTCTCCTTAAATGGAGGTTTGGAGTTCATGGCTCCACCCTCCAATCAGAGAGTCAGAGGGTAGTGATGAGAAGAGACTTGGAGAGAGACACAAAAGCTCTCTTTAGTCATTCGAAAAGCTGCCTTATGGAAGAAGGGCTAGATTTGATTCACTTGGCCCCAGAGGGCTGAGCTATTGTTATAGGTTGGCAATACAGAGAGGCAGATTTAGGTCTGATATAAGGAAAAACTCAACAATTAGTGTGATCCACAGGAGAAAGAGCTCACTCTGGAGGTGATGAGGAGTTGAATGACCATGTGTCTTTGATGCTGTAGAAGGGATTTGTATTTGGGTATGAGTTGTATTAGATGGTCTCTGCAGTCCCGTCCAACTCTGGGATGCTGCAATTTCATGAATCTTGGCTCAGCACCAACTTACTATGTTTGTGACCGTGGATAAGTCACTTAATCTCTTTGGGTGCCCAAAATGAATGGGCTGGTATAGATGATCTCTGTAATGTCCCTTCCAAATCCAATCTATGATCCTATGATGTCACTGACTGACACCCAGAATTGACAAAGAACTCATCCAATGCCATCCAGGCTGTCTAGTCTGGGTGACTCTCAGAAGCAGTAAGTGGGACTTCCTAGAATTTTGATATGAAAGGAAGGCTTGTGTTTCCTCAGGAACATCTCTGGGGTATTTTGGCTCAGCTATAAATGCTTTAGCAGTTTCAGAAAATATTCCTTGAGCCCATAATACATCTTATCCTCTATTTTGACTTATTGTCTCATTTCAGACTCGTTATGAATTAACCCCCACTCCTGTATTCTATGGCCCAGCCAAACTGGTTTTCTCTGTGTTTATCCCATATGAAATTCCATCTCTCATCATCATCCCTTTGCACTGGCTGTCCCCCATGTCTGAAATGCATTCAGACCTCTTAGAATCCTTCTCTTCAAGACTCAGCTCAAACACTGCCTTCTACACGAAACCTCTTCTGATTCTCCCAATTGCTAATGCTTCCCTCCCACCAAGTACTTTGTATTTATTTACCTCATTTGGGGGGAGGGCATTTATTCTGTATATACTTAAAATAGCATCTAGTGGATAGTGTGCTAGCCTAGGCGATGCAATGGATAGAACACTGTACCTGGAGTCAGAAAGACCTGAGTTCAAATCCTGCCACAGGCACTTACTAGCTATGTGACTCTGGCAAGTCACGTAAGTTCTATCTCAGTTTCTGCATCTGTAAAATAGAAATAATAGTAACACCTAAACCCTAAAGGTTATTGCAACAATAAAATGAGGTTATATTTGAAAAGTTCTTTGCAAATTTTAATGTACCACAGAAAATGCTAATTATTACTACTGTTTATTATTATTACTATCATCATCATCATCATCACCACCAAGAAGACCTGCATTCAAATCTTACATCTGACTCATCATATCCTGGGCAAGTCACTTAACCTCTTAGTGCTCTGGGCAACTCTATAAGACTGTAAATCGCAGAGAAGGTGCCAACCTGCACTGGTAGAGGGACTTCCCTCTCCCTGAAATTCCCTATGCCAAGGAAATCACATATCCAGCATCTGTCTCTCTGTCTCTCTCTCATCTCCTTCAATAGAATGCAAACTCCTTGAAAGTAGGGCTTGGTTCTTTTTTTGTACTGGGATGCCTAGAACCTAGAACAGTGCATGATACATAACAGGCACTTTATGAATGTCTTTTGATTGACTGAATTTGCAGATCCCAAAAAGAAATATTTCTAGACAGTAAGTAAGAGTTTATCCGATGTTCAAAGATATGAAATTTGAAAAGGCTCCCGTGAGAAGAAAATGACTAAGACCCAGAACTGGAGACCTTGGCAACAAGAGGAGTTGCAGCATAGATGGTCATTGCCAAAGAGAGGGGATGGGTAAAGAGAGGTTCATCACCCACTGGGGATGTCCCTGGCTTGTCCCAACTCATTCTTAATGGCAGGCAGTCAATCTTTCAGTTCTGCTACCTGGACTGAAGAACCTATTCATCTTCCAATCCCTAGGCCAGCTTTGATTTCTATTAGAACCAACTTCAGCCAACAGGGCCATCACAATGGGGCATAAGCACCTCAGACATTTTCTTGACATATCTAAGTCAGAGCCAACGAGGAAATGAAATGGACTTGCTTAAAACATACAGGAGGAGGGGCAGCAGTGGACAGAGCACCAGCCCCGGATTCAGGAGGACCTGAGTTCAAATCCAGCCTCAAGACACTTGACACTTACTAGCTGTGTGACCCTGGGCAAGTCACTTAACCCCAAATGCCTCACCAAAAAGCAAAAACAAACAAACAAACAAAACACAGGAGGGTCATTAGCCTGATTGGTGCCACATCTGCTATTGTTTTATCATCTGGAGATTGACTTGAAAAGCCAGGTTCCCTCAGTTTAAGGCACAGCCTGGAAGACTTGAGTCACTTAACTTCTCTCTGTTTCAGTTTCCTAATCTGTAAAATGAGAGGCTCAGATTCAATGGCCTCTAAGGTCCCTTCCACCAATAAATCGATGATTCTATAGCTTTATCCCGGGTCCTTGTCAAACCAAACAGATAAATATATAAAATAAATATAAACACGACATATTAAAATACATGATAGTATATATAAATATATTTATAAAAATGTAAAATAATATAATACATAAAATATAAATAAATATAAAAAACCCATAAATATGGTTTTGCTTGACAAGAAGACTGAGGAGATTTTCTGTGTGCTATTTAGAACAGATACACTGAGTAAATTTAACCTTTTGGGATCCACGTACTTGAGCTTCCATGCTCACTTAGCTTTCAATTTCTGCCACCTACTTTTTGTTTTTGTTTTTCAGATTGGGGGCAAGGGAGGGGGTGAGATGTCAAATGTGTGTTTTCTTGGTGCAGGGAACTCTCAGTAAGGAAAATCTCTCTATAAATGTAGGTTGGCAACCTTTTCTCAATTTACAGTCTTAGAGAGTTGCCTGAGTCACAGAGAGATTATATCACTTTCCTAAAAGACTGAGTTCAAAACCTGCCTTAGACATTTACTAATTGAGCCATCTCGGATTAGTCATTTACCTCATTCAGCCTCAGTTCTGTCACCTGTAAAATGAGGATAATAATAACATCTAGAGTTGTTGTGAGGAACAAATAAGACAATGTGTATAAAGCGATTTTTAAAACTTAATACATTATATAAGTGTTTATAATAATAACTATTATTATTGTTGTTATTCTGGCTTCTCCCTCACCCTCTAAACCAAACTGGTAAACCAGTTTGGGTCAAGGTTCAATCTAAAGACATTCAATAGTATTATTTCTAGGTAGGTCATCTTCTTTAATATTATATTAATTTCTAAAATTCTTTGAGTTCCTATAGAATTACCATGAAGTGGTAATTCTTTAAATATACATATATTACATATATATGCATATATTTATATTATATTGATCATTATCGCTGGTGTTTCAGGTCAGTGGCTATTGGGTTGCTGGTTTTGAGGATGGACACACACATGTGTGTTTGTGTATATATATGTACATTTATATACATCTATATATATATATATATATATATAGATGTATATAAATGTACATATATGTGTGTGTATATATGCTGGGGGTGTGTGAGGCAATTGCAGTTAAATGACTTGCCCAGGGTCACACTGCTAGAAAGTGTCAAGTGTCTGAGGCTGGATTTGAACTCAGGTCCTCCTGACTTCAGGGCTGTTGCTCTATCTACTGCGCCACCTAGTTGCTCAAATGCTTTTTTTTTTTAAAGCTCTGCTGTTACTTTCCACAAAATCAAACAATAATCAGATAACACAATACACAATAAACAAAATCACAACTGTACAAGAGCAGAAAGCACCTTCCTAGGTTTCTTCCATGGTAAAGTCCTGACACTTCCCTACTCCATCTTCATCAGCTTCTCCTTGCCATGGTATTACCTCCTCTTACAAGAGGATGAGCCCTCATCTCACAATAAATACTACCTCCAGGTGAAGGTGTGCTTTTTTCTATTTGAGAATTAGAGGTGACATAAAATACTTGGCACTTACCTGCAGTTCCTAAACTCAGCAGGACAGCAACCCACAGCACCCAGAAGAAAATGAGAATTATAAATGTCCAAAGTGGCTGGAGGAGCAGGGAAGGGGAACTTCTGATAGTTTTACTTGTTACTTGGAAAAGGTCGACTGTCAACTGGATCCTCTCTCTGAGAACAAAAATCAGTATGAGCAGAACCACCTGTTAAAGAAAAAGCTATTAGCAAATTCTTTTAAAAATTCCTGGAGAATTGTACAGTTTTTCTTTAAGTTATAAGAAACTTAAAAGCTACTGAATTCTCAGAACACAGCTCATTCCTTTGACATTCAAAGGCCTTCATAACCTGCCCCCTCTTACCTTTCCAGTCTTCTTCTACCCTCCTCCCTACCATATACTCTTTGATCCTATGACAAAGGCCTCCTTGACATTTCATGAACAAGAATTTTTGGGTACTTTTTCTGGCTGAGCACCATACCTGGAATGCTTCCTTTAAATCCCAATTAAAATTACATCTTCTACAGGAAGCCTTTTCCCTACACTTTGAATTCTAGTGCTTTTCCTTTATTATTTCTATTTTTCCTGCATATAGCTTGTTTGTTTGTATGTTTACTTGTTCTCTCCCCCATCAGACTGGGAGCTCCTGGAGGGCAGGGAGTCTTTTGCTCTTTTGTATCCCTAGCACTTAGGACAATGTCTGGCACATAGTAGGTACTTAATGTTTATTGACTAGGTTCTGCTTACTCTTTTCACATTAACTGATAAATTCTGTGCCCAATGGAAAGGGAAGAGGCAAATAAGATAAACCCAGAGAGTGAATTATTATGAACTTTCTTAGGAAGGGAATTTATCTTTTATTTCTAACACATTTCTTTCACAGTACTTATTGTAAATGGTCACATGCATAAGGTACTCAATAAAGGCTGGTATACTGATGAAAGGGAAAGGGGAGATGAGATGCAAAGGGATGAGAAACTAAAGGAACAGTGCAATAATGTACTGTTACATTTATCTTTTATTTAGATGTAAGTTGTAAATGAAGCAAAATGAGATGATCTTTTATGGAATAAAGTGAGTTTCTTACTCTGGACTGAAGGGGTGTGGGTGTTCCCATAAGCAAGAATAACACAAAGAACATTGGATATAGAATCTAAGCTTGTCCATTTGCATTATAGTTTTGCTACTTAGTAGATGTCTGACCTTAGGAAAGTCACCTAACCTGTTTGTGCCTTAGTTTCCTCATCTGGTACATAGTAGGCATTTAATAAATGTTGATTGATTGCTCTGTTGAATGAAGTTTGGACTAGATGACATGCTAGGTTTCCTTCCAGAGCTAAATCTATGAGCCTGTAATGTATGTATTTTGTAATCCATCTTGTGGAAGGCAGTATAGGATAGAAAGAAAGAGCATTAGCTATAAAGTCAGCAGGTTCTGGGGCCAAATGCAGACTCCACCACTTATTTAGGTGGTTTGGAGCAAGTCACAACACCTCTTAATCTTCTGTAGGTAACCTGTCTCTAGAATGGGATAATAAGACTTGTACAGCCTTATTCCCATAGTTATTGTGAGGGTTAATGAGACAACATATATAACATTCCACTGGGCACTGCCTGGAGGATCAGTCCTGGGCTGTGCATGTGGTGGGAGACGTGACTTCTGACTGGCTGAGAGAACACAGAGTGAGATGCTGTACACCTGCTGCAATGGACTTACACCTCCACTTTTGATTGGTAAACTGGAGTCCTCGGGGCCTTTCAAAAGTCTCTCAGCAACCTCATGGGAGTCCTTCCCTCCACACTGTCTGTAGCCAACCCAATGCATCATTCTCAGGATTCTCTCAACCGATCAGGAGTCATATGTCCTTCCACATACACAACACCTCTGGGAATGGCCAAAGAGGGTGTTACATGTATGTAAAGTACTTTCTAAATGTAAAGAGCATAGAACTTATTATACAGGGTGTCCCAAAAGTCTGAGGGCAATTTTAAGCTATTTGTGGTTAAAGACATATTATGTTATTGACCATAATTTGGGAGCACATAGCAGGTAACTTTCCCAGCAGACATAAGAAATTTCCATAACTCGATCCATATTATCTCATCCGGCTTCCCTTGAGACCAACAGTACCAAGTGGCAAGCCATGTAAGAGTCTATGGCCATGGAATGTGGCAGGCTGAACTAACCCCCAAGGAAAGACAGCCCCTGCCTCCCTTGGCCCCATGAGTACTGTGTTCTACTCTTCAGGCAAGCTGAGATAGGGTAATCTCCATGGAGAGCTTTAGAGAGTAATGCGACTGCCAATGGCGATTGTGCCACTGAGTGCCACATCACCCCACGCTTGCTGGTGATCAATTTATATCTACTTAAAAGCAGCAGCATGATGTACTTGGATGGAGTCAGGATGATCTTGATTCAAATCCTGCCTGTGACACATACTGACTGTATCTCGACTTGGGATTCACAATCTCTGACTCTCAGCTTCCTTATCTGTAAAATGGGGGTTGTAATAACAGCAGTCCCTAATTCTTAAAGGGTTATTGTAAGGCTTTAATGACAAAATGGATGTAAAGTACTTTGTTAAATTAAGTGCTCTGTTAATTATTATTAATATAGACATACATGGGGCAGCTAGGTGGCGCAGTGGATAGAGCTCCATCCTTAGAGTCAGGAGGACCTGAGTTCAAATATGACCTTAGACACTTGACCACTTGACACTTACTAGCTGTGTGACCCTGGAGGGTGACTTCACTTAACCCCGATTGCCTCACAAAAAAAAGGCAATATAGACATAAATGTTTTACTCAAAAGTAGTCTCAAAGAAGTCTTCTTTGATTCCCCAAGCCACAAATGTTCTGTCCCTCTTCTAAACTCCTGACACCATGTTTGGCGGTATTTTTTTTTAAATGACAATTATGTCATATATTAGGAGTAGGGATTATTTCACTCTTTGTCTTTGTATCCCCAGCACCAAGGATACAGTAGGTGCTTAATGGATGCCTGTGGATTGATTGAATGTGTCATATATATTTTTGTGTGACATCTCCTCTGCTGGATCTTTATCCAGATATTGCTTGCTAATCGTGGGTGTCCCCTAAGGTTGTCCTCAGTCATCTACTCTTTTCCTCCTTGATGATCTCATCAGCTCTCACGATTCAATTATCAAATATCACCTCTAGGCTGACAGTTCTCAAATCTACTTATGTAGCCCTAACCTCTCTCCTGACCCCTAGTCTCACATCTCCAACTATCTATTGAACATCTCAAATTGATGTCCTATAGGCATCTTAAACTCAATATATCCCAAAGTTAACTCCTCACTTTCTCTAATCCTCTGTATCCAAGTGTGGTCATTCTGTCTTTGTAATATCTCTTGTAAATGTCACACCAGGACGTTCCCTTCCTCCTCTGACCCTGCTACCACCTGGGTGCAGGAACTTATCACCTGATACCTTATCACCTTATCACCTTGGATCTTGGACAAATGTGGGGGGGGATCTGGAAAAAGGAAAAGTGGTAGTGGCCCCCAGAAGGGGTGGCTAAATTTGGTTTTCCTTTGATGCCTTCTAATTTCTCTTCTTTCTTTCCTTTTTCTATTTCTCCTTCCCCAAAGCATTCCAGCTTCTGGGCCACGAAGCAATTTTGGTGTTGGTGGATGGTGGGGTTGGAGAAGGATAAAGACTTGTGCTTGGGAAGGGATGAGGATGGAGTAGGGACAGGGAAGCAGAAAGTATTTCCCTTCTTCTCACTAAGTGGAGACCAGAACTAATTGTGTGTGTATGAGAGGGAGAAGAGCATCAGTCAGGTGTGGATTTCCCTCCTTCCCTCCTCCTCCTCTCTATCCCATCCTGTCCCGTGTCACTATAACCACTGTTGCCTGGCACTGAGTCTATAGCTTTGTTATGGAGAGAAGGGATTCTAGAAGCCAGCTGGCCATAGGGGCTGTTGGCATGTAATCACCATGAACAATTATTGAGCACTATGGGTGCCAGCTCTGCCCCTCACTAGCTGTGTGACCTTAGGCCAGTCATTTATCATTTGAGATCTGGTTTGTAAACTAGTCTAACGACATTTGTTTTACCTGCCTCACCAGGTTGTGAGGAAAATGAATGGAGGAATAGTCCAAATATCGGACTTAAGAGTCTCAGGAAGACCTGGGTTCTAATTCTGTCTCAGATGTTTAGTAGCTGTGTGACCCTGAACATGACATTTATTTTTATTTTTTTGATGAGGCAGTTGAGGTTAAGTGACTTGCCCAAGGTCACACAGCTGGTAAGTCTTATGTGTCTGAGGCCAGATTTGAACTCCGGTCTTCCTGACTCCAGGGCAGGTGCTCTATCTACTGTGTCACCTAGCTGCCCCCCTGAGCAAGACAGTTAACCAGTCTGGACCTCAGGTGTCTCATCTATAAAAAGAGGTTGCTGTGAAGATTAAATGACATTTAAAAAGATTAAAATAATAAGCTATAAAGTGCCTTAAGAATCTTCAAGAACTACACCAGATATTCCAAAAGTGGAGTTTTAAGTTTTGATACCTCAAAGACTTTTATTGGTTACTGCTACTACTAGTATTATTAATTATGACAAATCTTAAAATGCTAAATAAATCTGAGTTATTATTACTAGACATTTTGGGAGATAGAAAGAAGCCTAGGACATGTTCTCTTCTTTCAAGGATTATACCATCTAGTTGAGGTGGGAGGGGGGACCGATCTATCTTCCTCATCTGATCTCATTGTCTTTTGTATCCATTTTAGGCACTTATATCAGCTCTGGATCTCTCTGATATGTGTTTACCTCCCCATTTGAATGTAATCTCTTTGATATTAGGGACTCTGACTTTTCTCCCTGTATCTCCAATGCTTAGCACAGAGCTCAGTACATGGTGTTTAATAAATGCGTTTTTATTCATTTATCCTAATTTGTATATTTATCTGTGTATATATCTTACTGTCCCTGCTAGACTGTAATCTCCTTGAGGGCAGGTATCATTTCTTATCTCTCTTTTCTTTTCCCTAATGCTTACCAAAGTATATTGCATATACTCTATACATACTCAATAAATGCTGAATAAGCAAATGAAAAGAAAAACCACAGTGCAAAGTGGCAGATGCAAAGGGCTAAGTGAGTGAAATAAAGAATACAACAATGGGATTCTTCTATGACAACCACTGTACCTTCCCTAGGCATGGAGAAGAGAAGCGACTCCCCCTCCCTATTATAGCATCCTTCTCTTTCATCTAAGCTTACACCATTTTTTTGCACCAAGAAAGGATTACACACTCTGAGAGTTGGGTGGTCCTTAGAGATTTTGTGCAAAGAAGTCTTGTAAAAGGACTAATGGAAGGCCAGGGATATGTCCCAAGAAGCAGGTGCCTGGCTTTTGAGAAATCCACCTTTTCCTTTTCTATGACTTCCTTTCTGTGGGAATAACACCTTTCTCTCCCCCCCACCCCCAGCCTTTTTTAAAGTTAAGTATCCCACAGGCCAAAGTACAGAGGGATTATAGACCAGCTGAAATCAATTTCTGGCCCCATGAAGGGTCCTAGGGAACCATGGTGTAGTCAGTCCTAATACCCACCAGTCACTGTAACATTTTTCAGGATTCTAGAAGCGGGGGTGGGGTAGGGTAGAATAAAGCTTCTTTCTGCTGTCTTGGCACTTGGCACTCATCTGTTTCTAACTAGAGCTCACAGGGGAGGAGAAAGCAGGTTCTCTGAAAACTAAACCCACCCAACAGCTAACAGGTTTGGAAACAAAGGGGTCTGTGTATCCCACTATATCGTGAGATGTTACGCTAGCCAGAGAGCAGCACGTTCATTGGCTGGGGGGAGGTGCCAGTCTTTCCAAACAGGAAACATTCCCCCACATTATCAGGAGGCTGTAACCTCATCCCCCTCTCAGCTACTACCTTGTGTCTGCTTAGACAGGAATGAAAACAGCAGAGTGCTAAATGAACATCGACTGCTGCCCTGGGAGGGAGCAGGAGGGATTTCATAAAAAGAGAAGTTTTCTGTTCTTCTTCTTGAAAGGTTTTCCTTTATCCCTGGGTAGGAATCAGAGAAGCAAAGAGGCATCACCTTTCACCTGCACGTTCTGAGGTGAAGGGCTAACTATGGCCTTTTTGTTTTTGTTTTTCTGAAAAGGCAGTTCTCGAGATTCCGCTGGGTACTTGCTCCTTTCTACACCCCTTCCTTGAACGCAACCCTCCATCCCCCACCTCTACACCTTTGCTTTGACTGTCCCCCATGTCTGGAATGCTCTGCCCTCTCACCTTTTAGTTTCCCTGGCTTCCTTCAAGGTTCAACTCAAATTCTACTTTCTGATTTTTCCTGATCCCACAAATGCTAATGCATTCTTCTTTCAAATTACTTTCATCTATGCTGCATATATCTTGTATGTACATAGTAATTTACACACGTTGTCTCTCACTAAAATGTACAATCCTTAAGGGTTGGGACTGTTGTTTTTTGTTTTTTTTGGGGGGGGGGGGCGGATACTTTCTTTGAATATGCAGGGCTTAACACAGCGTCCAGCATCTGTGTGCTTAGTCATTTTTCAGTCACATCCAACTCTGTGACCTCATTTGGGGTATTCCTGGCAAAGATACTGGAATGGCTTGTCATTCCCTTTTTCAGATCATTTTACAGATGAGGAAACTGAGGCAAACAGGGTTAAGAGACTTGCCCAGGGTCACACAGCTAGTAAGTGTCTGAGGCCAGATATGAACGCAGGAAATGAGTCTTCCTGACTCCAGGCCCAGCACTCTATCCACTGCTCCACCTAGTCACCTTTGCCCAGGACATAGAAAGCACTTAATAAATATCTGTTCAGACTGAGTCACTTGCAAGCCCTGCTGGAACAGGGGTACTTCTTACCGCGATCACTGTGGAGACAATAGCGAATCCCAGTAAACATTTCATGTTTTCCTTTTCAGTGTCCAGTTCGATGCTGAGGTCATTGATATAGTCATAATAAAGCCACCATAACACACCGGAGACAACTGGAAAACAAAACACCATCTGGCCTCAATCGATCCTGGTTCTACAAGATATGGATGGCACAGCAAAGCTGTGACCTGCTGAACCTAAGTCTGTCCCCTGCCCGCTCTGGGATAGCCTCTCAAGTACAGGGGTCCCAAACCACAGAGGGCTTTGCAGGTAATAAGCCACACTTTCTAGATGGAGTTGGGAAAGGAACGGGTCTTGAGAGTGACTTGCAAAGCACCAGCTTTTAAGGCTTTCCACCCCATCCTGCAATGGCTTCGAATCTCTGGGTGGTCTCCAAGGGTAGTCTAGAGACAACTGGGAAGGGAGAGCACCAGGCTCAGGAACCCAAGTGCCAAGTGTAGAAGCAGCCCTACCTTTGATATCCTGTGCAAGGCAGAGACCTACTTTCTCATTTATAAGATGAGGGCATAGTTATCACCCACTTAATTAAGGAATAATCACAAGATTTAGACTTAGACTAGACTTCAGAGGTTAAATAGTACTAATGTATACCTGAACAGGAATCTCCTCTCTAATATCTCCAACAAGTGGTCAGCTAACTCCCACTTGAATTACCTCTCATATACTCTGCATACATCTTGCATTTAAGTAGTTATTTATAGATTGCCTCACTCCCCTTCCCCATTAGAATATGAGGTCCCTGAAGTCAGGGACTAAGTTTTTGCCTTTCTTTGTATCACTAAGTGCTTAGCACAGTGCCTGGCACATAGTAAGTGCTTAATAGATGATTGCTAGGTGACTGAATGATGTGATGGATGTGGAGCTCACTACTACCTAAGAGACCATTCTAATTTAGAATAGGGTCAGCTGTTCTTTTAAAAGTAATTTTTCTAGCTGCCTTTTACTTTCCCATCACAATCGCTTCTGGAGGGCCTAACTATTAGGAATTTTCCCTTTAAACCAAAATGAAATCTACTTCTTACATATGTCTACTTTTTGCTCTTGGTTCTGTCATCCGGGGACCATGAAGTACAAGTCTGACCCTTCTTCCACCTAACAGGTTTTCAAACATTTGAACACTACTCTCAGGTTCCTGTAAATCTTCTCTAGACTAGTTCCTTCAGTTAACCCTCAGTATGAGAGCCCAATTACATCACCACTCTTAGGGCCTTTCTCTGAATCTGTTCCTATTTGTGAATAACATTTCTAAAATGGAGTCCCCAGAATTGAACACAGTGCTCCAGGTGTGACCTAAGCAGGGCAGAGGGCAGAAGAATTATCATTTCCTTTGTCCTGGATTCGATTCCCCTATTATTGCACCTTGTAGAAACTGAAGTCCCTAAAGATTAATTCATTAGCCCAAATTCACACAGGTACAAATTATACAGGTATTAAATAATATCAGTCACTTGCACATATCAAATGTCATGGAAATCTTTGTGTTTTCGTAACCTTAGCAACCAATGCAGTGACTGGTATGTAGCAGGTGCTTAATAAATGCTGGTCTTATTGAAGTGACCCCTTAATTTATAGAAGAAAGGTCAGAGTTGAGAAAAAATATCGTATATCCTCGTGGCCCACTTAAGAATATACACTGACGTGGAGGGGAATGGAGCTAAGCATTTATTAAGCACCTATTACACGCCAGGCACTTTGCTAAGCACTTTACAAATACTATCTCATTTGGTCCTTGCAACAAGCCTATGAAATGTATGCTGTTCTGTTATTATGACCATTTTACAGTTGAGGAAACTGAGGCAAAGATTAAAGTGACTTGCCCACAGTTAGAGCTTATAAGTGCTTGAGGCCAGATTTGAACTCGAGTTTTTCTGATTCTAAATCTAGTGCTTTGTCCACTGAGCCCCATAGCTGCCCCATATAGAATGTATGGTCCCCAAAGCCTAGCTGTGTGAAATTGTGGATAGAGTGCTGAACCTGAAATAAGGAAGAATCAGGTTCAAATCCCACTCCCAGCCCTTATTAGCTGTTTGACCACAGACAAGGTACACTCAGGCTCAGTTTATTCAGATGTAAAATGGGGAGAATAATACCTGTGGGACCTACCTCTCAGGGTTGTTATGAGATAACATTTCCTAAGCCCCTTATAAGCCTTACAATGTTATAAAAATGTGAGTTGTTATTGTTCTTAATGGACTGAATTTCAGTTGTTGGAAATGCTAATCCAGAAGCAACTCTTCAATCAATTCTCCACAAGTATCAGTTAATTTTTAGGACTATTTGGAGGAAGGTTAGATATGTGATTTCATCTTGTAGAGGGGATTTGGTCAAGAGGATAGAGGACCAACTTTTGAGTTAGAAAGACCTGGTCAAGTCTCACTTACGGCTCATACTGGTTGTATGACCCTGGACTAGTCAGCTTCTCGGTGCCCCAGGTGGGTCCTAAGACCTTAAGTCAAGGACACTTTCACGTTGCTAATTCCCTGAATCAATGAAATTAGAGATCTTGATGAAAACAAAAATACAAGCCATGCAGAAATACTTACGTAAGAGGGCCAAAACAACCAAGGAAATGAAAATATGAAGCAGGAGGGTGGTGATGAATTGGAAGGTGAACATCATGGTCAGAGACAAGGCTGCAAAAACAAGGGAAGAAATCACAGATGCCAACAACGAGGAGAATAGGGCTGATACACATGATGGCCACTATAGCTTCTGGGAGAACCAGGACCAGGAGCTTCACATATTCTGTAAAATCTGGGGAAGTCTGAACTTTGCTAAATGGAGATCATAAGAACAGCCCAGTATTGTTAAGAGAAATTGATCAATCAATAAGACATTTATTAAACACCTACTATGTGCCAGGCACTGTGCTGAGTACTTAGTTGTATGCAGTCTGACCTACTCAGGATAATGAGCCATTAATTATTTGGAAATGTCAGGATTTCGCTGGATTGTAAGATTATAAGTAAGATTTGTAGGACCCTGGAAAATGGATCTGTGTCATGTCTCTCTTTGGGTCCCCAGGGCTTTAGCATAGCTCTTCAAACACAGGATTACTAAGACTACACAGAAATATAGAGTTTCAAATTCCAAACTGATTTTGCCTCAATTCTAAAATGACTGGTCTGCAACCGTACATTAATGAATTCTTTTTGCCTCATATGGAAATGGAGGGATGATGGGGGTGAGGGCTGGGGCTGGGGGTGGGGATTAAATGAAATTTTAGCTGCAATTTGTTGCAAGTTTGCCAACTTAACACAAAGGCCAAAATGTAAACTCCTGAAAGGTGGGTATTATTTCCTTTTCGTCCTTGTGATTCCATTGCCTCATGTTGAGACCTGGCCCATTGTAGACCTTAATAAATGTTTACTGAGATGAATCGAAGCTCTTTTCCCCAAGGCTTCCCGAGGTTGAGGCCCTCTCTAGTCTGGGGTCACCCTGACTTCCCAGTCTTATTTCTATTGCTACTCTTTTCCCATATTTCCAGGTAATCTGGATAACTTCTCATGTACAAACTTACATGCACAGTGCTCTCTTTGCTCAACCTTTCCTTATACCTGGAATACCCCTGTCTACATCTTCACTCATGGGACTCACACTCATCCTTTAAAGACCAATACCAATAGCATCTCTTCCAAGGAGCCTCCTTTAATCCCCTCCTCCATATGTTGCCAACAATATCCCCCTTCAGCTTCATATAGCATGGGGTTCAGCAACTCTCTCTTTAAAAAAATATTTTATTTTTTCTAATTACATATAAAGATAATTTTTAACATTCATTTTTTAAACAAAATCTTGAGTTGCCAATTTTCTCCGTCCTCCCTCCCTAGGATGGTAAGCAATTTGATATAGGTTATATATGTGCAATTGCATAAAACATATTTCCATATCAGTCATTTTGTTAAAGAAGAAACAGGACAAAAGGAAAAAAAATCATGAAAAAAAAACCAAGTGAAAATGGTATGCTTCCATCTGCATTCAGACTACATCAGTTCTTTCCTAGGATGTAGATAGCATTTTCCATCATGAGTTCTTTGGAATTGTCTTGGATCGTTGTATTGCTGAGAAGAGCTAAGTCAATCATAGTTGATCATCGCACAATGTTGCTACTGTGTATAATGTTCACCTGGTTCTGCTCATTTCACTTTGTTTAGCAACCTCTAATGCACTTCTCATGTAATGTTGTGAAATATAGCTATGAACATGAGTGACTTTTTTCCCTACTCGACTATATGCCCCTTAAGGGTAGGAGAGACTGGTTGTACGGATAAGATTTGGGAGTCAGGAGTTTGAACCCTGTCCATGACACTTTCTGATAGGATGACCCTGGGTCAGTTACTTAAACCTCTTTGAGGAGTACTTTACTCATCTATAAAATGAGGATAAGAACAGTGCCGGCCTCACAGGGTTGTTGAGGTATAGGTGGAATCATTGACCTACAGCAAGAAGCGACCTCAGAAGCTTCCTCCAACCCTCTCCTTTGACAGATGAAGAAACTGAAGCTTTGGGAGATGAAGGGATTTGCCCAGGATCTCACAGGCAGTAAGCGCCAGAAGGAGCTGAGGTATCTAGTGCTCCTTTCGCTGGACCATACTTTGTAAACCTAAGGTGCCCCATAAGTGTCATCTATCATCATTGCCAGGTCTGATGTCAATTCTGAACCTCCCTCAGCACCTACCACAGTGCTGGGAGCACAGGAGGCATTAGTAAACGTTTGCTCATCTGCTCTTTAGCTAAACAGGTGAAGGACCCTGGATTGTTATGACTTAATACTAGGATTTTTGACACTTTTCAAATACTTTCATGAAAAACTCAGGCCCAAGCGCTGACAGCTAACTGAAATAAGCCAAAGAACCTTCCCTCTCAGTGGGACACAAGGAATGCAGGCATGAAGCTAAATTCCAATTTGCAAGGCTAGGAGGGGAACACACACACACAGGACAGGAGCCAGCCCAGTTCTAGGCTCACAGGAATTCACTACACCCCTGTCCAAAGTAGTCAGAAAAGAAAATTACCTACTGCGAGGATACACAGGCCGAGCATTGTGTCTCTCCCTGACATGATGCCGCTTAGGATTCGATGGAGGGTGTCCACATCATTGATCAAAACAGATGCAAACAGGGAGTAGCACTCAGGGGTTTGAGGGACACAGCGATTGAACAAAGGGAAAGATTTGCTAAAAAGTAAAAACAGGATGGATGGCAATGCTGTTGTAAGTCCTTCTAGTTGGTATACAAACACACACACACACACACACAAGAACCACTGTAATTGTTAATAATAACTAACATTTATAAATCACTTTCTATGTAATAGGCATGGTGTGTTAAGCACCTTATAAACATTATCTCATTGGATTCTCACAACTTTGGGAGCTATTATTATCCCTGTTTCACAGTTGAGGAAACTGAGGCAAACAGAATTTAAGTGACCTGCTCAAGTTCATAGTCTCTGAGGCTGTATTTGAACTCTGGTATTTTTGACTCCAGGCCCAGCATTCTGTCCACTATGGCAATACCAGCTGCCCTGCCTCCTCACCACGCCCCACCTCTTTCTAATTCCTAAAACACCAGAGACATGAATGAAAGCCAACAAGGCGACCTTGCTCAGCTTCACTGAGCATCTTATATTCTGAACGTTATAGAGACCAGAGGAGCTGACAGAAATTACTAGTTGCTATTGAAGGAAAGGGTGTCTTTCAATAACAACAATACAGTTTTCTTTTCTGGCATAAACTTGCCTGTGATTTCATTTGTGTAGTCAGCTCCCCATGAGGAAATGCAATTTAGTCATGTAGATAATGACCTATTCTGTTGTCTTGGAGTTGCCTGGGACGTTGAGAGGTTAAATGACTTGCTGGGACTGTCTTTTGACTTTCTTTGTATCCCTACGACTTAGCATAGTGCCTGGCACATTGCTCTTGTGTAGTTGTCCAGTTGTGTCTGACTCTTCATGACCCTGTTGGACCATAGCATGCCAGTACTGTGTGTGGGATTTTCTTGGCAAAGATACTGTAATGGTTTGCCATTTCCTTCTCTAGTAGATCAAAGCAAACAGAGGTTAAGTGACTTGACCAGGGTCTCACAACTAGTAAGTATTTGAGGTCAGATTTAAACTGAGGTCTTCCAGCCTCCAGGCCCAGCACTCTATCCACTGAGTCACCTAACTGCTTCAGCATGTAGGAGCTGTTTAATAAATGCTTATTGACTGACTAGCCCAAGGTGTCACATCTGAGACTTGAACGCAGGTCTTCTGACTTTTAAATCTAACCCTCTTCCCAAAACAACCTAGCCCTTTGTGTCCCTCCTAGGCAACAACTATTTACTACAATTTTTCACAACTGGAACAGTGTTTCCTAGAGAACTTGGTAGTAGAGGCAGGGCATGGGGTGGTGGAAAAAAGCAATGCAATTATAGCATTTATAGATCAGACAACACTAATAAGATTACTGCCTCATTTGATCTTCTGAAGAGGGAAAGGGAAGGGGCTGGAAACCTTGCCATGAGATGGATGGTGAGGTGATCAAACACTTTATCATAAAAGGTTCAGCTGAAGACATTAGCAGTGTTTAGCCTGAGAAGTCTCATGGAGGCCAACGCAGCAGTCCTCAAGTATCTGAAGGGCTCTCACACATTCAAGTTGGCGTTAGAGGACAAAACCAGAAGTTAGGAGCAAGGGTTGCAGAGAAGCTGGTTTAGGTTTTACATAAAGAACTTCCTAACAATCTGAGCCATCCTAGAGTGGAATGGGCTGCTTCCAGAGGGACCAGGCTGTCACACACTGGAGAGCTCCAAGCACAGCCTGCATGGCTACTGGTCAAGAAAGTTATAGAGGAGATTCCTAGCCTCTTCCTACTCTTCCTACTTGGATAAGACATAAGAGTACATTCAAGTTGCCTCTGCTCTTCTAGCTGACATCTGCAGAGGGCAGTAACTACTCGACTTTCAGCGAGGAAGGTCTGCTGTTACCACCTAGAAACAACAACAATAATGGCATTTATATGATGCTTTAAAGACTGTAAAGCACTTTATAAACACCAGCCCATTTGAGCCTCACAACATTATGAGGTGGCCACTCCAAGGTACTGTTATCTCCATTCTACAAATGAGGAAACAGAGGCAGAGAAGTTAAATAATTTGCTCATGGCTACAGTTTCTAAGTTAACAGAGGCTCTTCCTGGTTCCAAGTCCAGGACTCTATTCATACTACCATGGGGCAAGGAGCAGGGAGGCAGTTACCATAGCCTGATTCCCTCACTGGAAATGGGACTTGCAATGGGAGGGAAAGTGTAATAGTCCTACCTGGAACTATTAGTCTCCTTCAATATATGACTCTTTCAATTGCTCATTACCACTAAGTTTCCTGGCTCTGGTCCCAGCCCCAGTCCATCTCCAGGAATGTACCACATACAGACAGAAAACAAAAGGGCTGCTCAGAGTGAAATGAAGAGGATCAGAGATCTCTTTCCCTACATGACCTTCCTGACCATCGTTACTATTGACGCTGGTCCTCAGCTTTGATAAGCAAATGGTCAGATCAACTGGTTCTTCCCTTGTCCTTTGGCTCCCGAATTTCAACCTCCTGCGGCTCATTATCTCTGTGGCTTAGAGTTGATGGTTGCTAATGTAAATATCTTCTTCTCCTGCTGCCAGCAATCTTGGCACTGTCCAGCTATCATCCTGTAGCTTTGCTCCCTTTTAGAGCCAAATTCTTAAGGAGAGAAGTTTATGCTGGCTTCTTCTACTTCCTCCATACCCACTTCTTAACCCTTTGGTTTCTGAGCCTATAGTCTACTGAAACTGCTTTCTCTAAAGTTACCAACAACCTTTTTCTTTCTCTCTCCTTCTATGGTTGCTTCATTAAATTTTACTTGCCTTTTGTTTTTCATACCATGGTTTTCCCCTTGCAAATTGAACCCTTCCTTCAAATACAGAAAAGCATCAAAGCAAAATCAACTGATACGGTGACAATATCTAACAGTGTATACTGAATTCTGCACCTCTAGCTCCCCACCTCCCTACTGCAGGAAGGAAGATGTGTTTCATCATCAGCTTTTTAGGGCTGAGGCTGTCATTAAAATTCATTAGCGTTTAACTGCCTTTTAGTATTGTGATCAATATATTAATTGTGTACATTGTTCTCATGGTTATATTTTCTTTACTTCATATTTGATCATACAAGTCTTTCCATGTATCTCCGAATTCCTTCTATTAATTTTTTATGGAAAAATAATCCCATTATATTTGAGTACAATATGCTAGCCACTCCTCAACTGACAGCACCCATTTTGTTTCCATTTTGTGCCACCACAAAGTAAGCTTTGAATATTTTGTTATATATAGAATCTTTCTGTCATTGACCTTCTTGGGGATATGCCCTGTATTGGCCATGATCTCTTAACTGCTAAATCCAAAGTCTTTTTTTCAGTGCTCATCTTCCTTGACCTCTCCATTGCTTTCAGTATAATTAACTATCCTCTTCCTATTGGATACTTTCTCTTCCTTTGTTCTGGGACCCTGTTTTCTGCTGGTTCTCCACCTCCCTAGTTGACCATTCATTCTAAGTTACCTTTGCTCATTCCTTCTCCTCCACTAAACAAAGGTATCTTCCAAAGCTCTCTCAGTGACATGATTCTTTTCTCTCTCTATAATCTCTACCATTGTGATCTCGTTTACTCTCTTGGATCACCATCTCTAAGCAGATGATATCCAGATTATTGTCCTTCATTACTAATTGCCTGCTGGACATCTCCAACCTGGATACCCCATCAGCATCTCAAACTCAACGTATCCCAAACTGAATTCAGTATCTTTTCTCAAAACCTTCTCCTCTTCTAAACTTCTCTATTTCTGTTGAGGGCACTACCATCTTCCCAGTTCATAATTTTAGAGTTATTTACTTGTCCTGCTCCCTTACATCTCCCTAATTAGTTGGCAAGGCTCACTGATTAAATATTCCACAACTCAGATCCATCTATCAGCCTTAACAATAAACTAGCATACGAGTTTAGGTCCTTATCATTTCATACCTGGACTGCCACCCTAGCCCCCTAATATTGGCCTGTAAACTCATCCAACCTCAAACCATCTTCCATACAGTTGTCAAAATGATATTCCTCAAGCACAGGTCTGACTATGTTATCCTATTCCTTCCCTTTAATAAACTCCTCATGGTCAACCTTCCATTTCCTGTGTAGTGGGAGCCATCCCATTCTCCAACAAAGCACATTAACATATTCTCTTGCATGTTTCTGGCTAGCTACATGTGTGGCTCAGCATTAGGGTATTTTAGAGATGATGACCTCCCGGGTTGCTTCTAGCTATGAGGTGACCCACTGCTGAAAGGACTTGGTGTTCTGGTATGAGATAGTAAACCTTAGGTGCTCCCTTGATCATTCACCCTCCTCATGGCAGTAGCCAGGGGCAGAGTGCTATGGCAATTAAAAGAGATAGTTTCTGGCTGGTACTTGATTGTGACTTTTCAGGTGAATTCTAGGGGGCTCTGGAGTTACCAGTAGAGCAACATGGAGACAGGAGGGGAATCTTAAACAGCTCCTCCAGCATTCTTGAAGGGGCTAGCCATAGACAAGAAAGGAATATCTCAAGCCTTGTCATTTCACCAGAAGAGTTGTGAGGATAGTGCTGACCCAAGGTGAAGTGTGAAATTACTTTATATTTTGAATATAACAGTAGCTATAAATTAAATTACCGAATCTGTTTATTCATGGTTGTGGAATGTCCTGTATTTAGCGTTCCTTTTGTGTACAGGAATAAATTATCTGCCCCACAACTGATTCATATTGTACATTAGGTTCCACTTTTACCCTTCACTTTAAGGAGACCTAGACATGAGCCATTGCCCAAGCTTTAAGCCATTTTTTCCTAGGGTGTTGGGATGGGAGACTTAACAAGTTTAAGAATTTGATAAAGTGGATTCTAACCCCTTTAACTGTAGATGTGCTCCTCCTAGGACTGAACCCAGTCTAAACTGCCTGAGCACAGAACAGGGAGTGGAGTAAGTATCCCAGATCCTGTGGGTCCAGGAGTGATTCCTCAGTACTGATTCCACCTCCGTAGTCTCCCCAAAACTTCTTCTCTCACTCCCTGCCAACACCCCAGTGCCTAGAATGCAATCCCCCCCTCACTTCTGCCATTCAGAATCCTTATCTTCCCTTCA